CTTGCAGTTATGGCTGCCAAGAAACCTGGCTTCAGTGGGAGCACTCTCTGGCACATGGGAGATATGGAAGACCTCTGAAGCTGAGGAAGGCATTGAACCTGGGACTTCTGCTCTTCAGCAAGTGTTCTAGCAACTCAGCTGTTACATAAAGTAGGGTAGCAGTATCAACACCATCATCTCCTCACTGGCTGCACTGTGAAAAATTGGAAATGATTGTGCTCTGTTAGAAGCCTAGTCCTGTCTGCATGTTCTGAGTGGGTTTTGGGGATGGGAAGCTTATTGTATTGGACCTCTCATAGGACAAAGCACAGTGGTACCTACTTTCTGGGTCCCAACAGAGCTTTTCAGGAATGCACAGATGCAAAACTGTAGGTGCCTATGGAAGTTTAGAGTCAGAGTCAAACAGGGAGATGCCTTATAAATTAGGCACCTCCAGGGTCAGGCCGCTACTGGGTGGTTGGGTTTTTCTTATTGTAGTTTTGGACCAGGATCTTAAACCCACCAAAATTCTTATTGGGTCTTAACACATGTACATTAATAATATGCATTTTTAAAGGGATATCAAGATGCTAGAATGACTCTCAAAACAGAGAACAACAGGAACACATTTGTTACCCTGACAGCCAATTTTAACACTTTTCATGCAGAGGATTCTGTTAATCCTGACGAACATTCACTTTCCTCTGAGCAAGAGCCTGAAATTTAATGCATAAATTCACACTTCCTAAATAGGACACCCTGCAAAAACCTTCAGAATATGGCACAGTTTCTCTATATATTTTTGCACTTTAACAAAAAAATAATATAATTTCAATTTATTTAAAAACCATATAATAAGCATCTCTTGTGGACTTTGGATGCCATATTCACATACAAAGGCCATATACATGTCACCTAAGTCAATAAAAAGAGCTCCTTATTTTCCTATCCAAAATACTCAAAAGTGGCGGGGGGGAAGGGAGGAGAGGGTGGGAGGGTGGATGCATTTCCCTGACCTCACTCAGAGCTCGCCTGCCATGACCTGAAATGGGAGAAATGATGAGGGTTATTCCCCAAGTGAGGTGAGATGCCACTGACCACCAGGATAGAATTTAACAACATGTTCTGTTTATTGAGTGATTGTTACAAAGTCTTAATGAGCCATGCTTATTGCTCATTAACAGGGATGCACTTTCCTCATCATCCCACGGAGTCGTGCTTGTTGTCCTTTAACAGGGATGCAGTTCCCTCACCACCTCATCAAATTTCCCTGTGATCCCCTCACCCTAATTTCCTTCTCTAACGTTTTCTTTCCAGGGTCCCTGGAACTGTCTTTGGACACCCTCGTTCCCTGCGACCCCTCGGGTAAGTACTCTACCGCTCACCAGTTGGGTGTCGATTTGTGGTCCCTCAGGTTTATGCGTTTCCATTCTGTCCGTCATCCACCGTGGACTCCTTTCTCTCTCCAAGTGCCCTGAGGACAAGGTCCTGTCCATCGCTGTCTGCCTTTTAAGTATGGTGGCCGCTTTCATCTCCCTTATTTCCACCTGGTGTGTAGATCCTCGTCAGCTGGGTCCAGTCGGCTACCAACATTGTCTTTTTCGTGACCCCATCCCCTTCAGCAACCCGAGTCCATGATTTTCCTCAAATAACAGGGTTTCTACCTTAACACTCTGTTACAGTAATAAAATAATACCAATGTACTTTAATTTGTATGATGAGATTCTGGCCTCCCATGTAGTAAGTGTTGCACAAACTCTTACTACCAATAAGAAATCTCTGTCCCAGGTGGTTCCCAATATTTCCAGACCCACAACTTCATTTCTAGTAGGCTTGTGTTTTTATTCCCATTTCAAACCTGAGTCTTCCAAAAGAACTTCCGTAGCATTCATGATCCCACGTGGGGTTGTGATCCCTAATTTGGGAATCACTATTAAAAGACCTTTTAATCAAAAGAGACAAAACCAAAAGAAGTATTCTCTTCATCTTACAGATTGGAAACCAAGAAAAAGAAAGATTAGAAGTTCAGCAAGTATTAAAAATGTTTTTCCAATGATCTCAGCTTGTTAGATTTGTCACATTCACTCAGTACCTAACTGTAAGTGATCCTGTTAGAGCCTCTTGGTACTGAGCTATCTGGAAAAACTGGTCCTAGGTGACTTAATGAAGGTCACATTTAAAGACTGATGCACAACAAATACAAATATCTGGATTCCTATCCCAGTGCCTCCACCACAACCCATTCTTCCTCTCTCAGAGCTTACCACATGACTGGTCAACAGTCCTAAATCCTGCATCATCAGGGCTCCTTCTACTCTTTTCCTCAGACTTTAAAGTAAAATGAAGCTCTCATGCTCATGCATCATGGCTAAATTTAAATGCCAAGTTGAAGTTTGAAGAGACTGCATCTGCACTTGCAAACCTGAAATCATAATTCACAGCACACACTGCTTCACTGATGTTAACAGTGGTGGATAGGCTGCAGTTAAATGATGCAGTGACAAGAGTACATCCACATGCATGTCCCTTACCACTGCATACACCCGTAATGAACGTGCAATCAGTTTCTTCTAGCACAGAGTGAGGAGAACTTAGAGATCCTGGATTTCAATAGGAAAAAAAACCTAACAACTTTTCTTTGCTGAAGACCCCAATACCATGCTTTATCCATGGAAAGTGCCTGAAAGCCAGGGCAGTCTATGATGAACAATGGTGTTAACATGCTCTGTGTGAAACACTGCTCAGTATACAGGCAGCCATGGGCTCCCTAGCTAAAACTGGGAGCTACTTTCACAGACTGTCCAACAAAGAGTGAACTACAGTAATTCAATCATATGCTGCACTTATTTCATGCAAAAACCTCAATTCAGGTAAAGTCACAGTCAAAAGGAGCATGACCTTATCTCAGAAGGGTATTCCATGCTCCTCAGGGACAGAATGTCTTTATCTGTGTCTTGTGCAGCAGCAACAATATGGTCAGACTTTAGGAAAACTAAGCTGTGATCTTATTTCCACATTTACGTAAATGCACTTAGATCAAGCAGAATCTGTAAGGTAAGGTCATCCCTATGCAAAAACCATGCAGACTAACAGATGTAGGTGTTGTAACAGGGAGACTGAATGCTCAGTATGGATGGATGGGCGTGCATAGTAAGATCCCCTTCCCACTTACAGAACAAGATGGTTTTAGTGAGTATCTATGACGTATACACAGTTTGAGAATAGGAAAAAAACAGCTGAATGTCAGAATTAATGTATTACTTCAGGTTCAGATGAACTGGGGTAGGAGAGAACACAGCCTTCCTAAATCCAACTGATTTTTGAAGAGTCATAAACAACCCAATTAGCCAAAGCAGCATTCAGCTGCCCTGACTATGAGATCATCATGCCTTTTCTCCGCAATCCCACCACCTTCTGGATCAAGTGAGGCAGGGGCCTTGCCTACTGCTTCTCTCTCACTACACAGTACAAAGCAGATCTGCTCAGCACACTGAATTAGGCAGATGCCCAAGCCAAAAAAAAAAAAAAAAAGAAGCATGCAATCCTGTTATTAAAGGCTATGTTATAAGGCAATTGTACAAGGGGGGTAAACTAAGGTCGTGCAAGTAGCTTTACATTAGGCACTTCCTACATTTTGAGCACTTGATTTTGCAACCTTATATATTTAGCTTGTATGTTCAGTCTCCTAGTTTTGTTTTGTTTTTTAAGTAACTCAGACCAATAGAAATGCCCCATATGGCCTCTTACTGTCACCCACAAGGGCACCAGTAGAGTTGGAGTCTGGACACAAACCTCTGTCACCTTGCGTGAATGCAGAAGATGGTAGCAGTAGACTATCATCCTTTGTGTGGACAAGCAATGGAGGGATATAACACATGCTGTGCCAGAGGATTTCATAAGCATTAGGTAACAGCGGAACAGAGGAATGGTTTGAATCAGTAATCTTGGGCCCTAGTTCCTAGCGAGCTAGGAATGAAGCATGCTCTTATGAGTCCAAGCCCTTTTGGTTTATTCCCTCCCAAGCCATCATGGCTATAAATGGATGTTGTCCTTGGAGCAAGATCAGCCACGCCAGGATATATTCTCTCTCCTGCTTAGTCCCATCTCGCTCCTCATTCCAATCTACTTGTTTCTCTCCCCAGTCCAATTCTCACAGCTCTTAAAGATAATCAACTTGTGCATATGCCATCTCCACAGAAGGTGGCACAGGGAAATTCCCAGGGCATGAAGACTGGGTCCCTAGAGCCCCAGGATCAGCTGCTCAGGGTGGCTGGAAAGCGTGGGCAGTTCTGGGCTGCCTGTGCTATCCTGCCATAAATGAACAGATGTCCATTGCAAAAAAGCAGCAAAAAATTGTTACTACCAACTGGGTCACGGGTCACAGCCACAGTTCAGGGCATTTGTGGCATGGCGATCCATCTGTTTGCACTCTGTGCTACCATAAAAATGTTTATAGCAGCACAAAGGTGACTTCTGTTTGCAGCCCATCTCTTCTCCACCCCTAGGTCCTTATCCCCATCTCATTCTCCTTGCCTACCCATTATACCCCAAACTGCTTGCCCAGCCAATCCCAGTTCCTATGTCCTGACTCCTCAATTCAATCCATTTTCTGGTCCAGGTCTCCCCCTCATAGTTCATCTACTCCCTTTCTTCACCTGCCCCCGGCCTCCGGTTATCCTCACCTCATCCTGTCCCTATCCTCTCTCTTAAGATAACTTTCAGTCTCCCCCTCCCTGGTTTCTCATCCATTACCAGTTCCCAGACCCAGTTTCCTAGTCCAACTACATCTACCTGTCTACCCACCCCAGTTTACAATCCCTTCCAACTCAGTTATTTTCTCCCCATCTTAGTCCCATGTGGCCCCTTACTCCAATCCACTCCTTTCTCTTCCGGGCCTGATTTTTGTCCCTTTCATGCTTCATACTTTACCTACAATGTAGATGGATTACTGAAGACACAAAGGAGGCAGGCTCTCTGCTCTCAATGCCAGGTCCTAGTCTCAACTTAAGCTAAAGCAGCAATTACAGAGAAGTTGTACTTTGCTCTTGCATCCTTGAGCTGGAGAATGCTCCACTACTCTCTGGGGATAGCACATGCACAATTTGGTTAATTTTAACAGCTGTGAGATGAAGCAGGTTCTTTTCATCTGTGGCACTAATGCGCATGCAGGCTGGTCAGCACTAGAAGTAACAAACACAGTGAGCCCAGAATTTTAAAAATTTGGCTGCTAAGAACAAAATAAGTGGGGGTGGGAAAGTTTTAGTCTCCGAATCACTGGCATTTCCAAAGATGTGACATACTCCTAGCACAGAAAAATCTGATAGAGTCCTGAACAACCAAAACCAGGGTGGAAAGTAATTGAAAGTATCAGGCACCCTTAAAAGGTGGCACTACCAAATTTGCCGATATTATAGTTAAAAAAAAACCTGAGATCAAGACACCACAGTCTCATAGGTATAATTCTTTAAACTGGCAACACTTAACCCCTGATCACCAGCAGGGCTGTTACCAGCCAGTAACTGGACATACAGTACTTTTACTTTTAATTAGCATTGTCAGAAAATGATGAAAATGTATGCTGGAAGGTCTCCTAGAAAAAATATGCATGGGGCATCCTCCAGCAAAAACTCTCCAGGGTCAAGGGCAGGAAGCAGCACAAACAAAGCCGAAATGCCTCACCCACTTCAGAAGCATTCATCCTATTAGCCAGACTTCCTGCCAGGTATAAAGGAAGCCATTCTGTGCCTCACCTTACGAGGGGAGGATTGAAATGAAGCTAGAATATAAAGTACAGATCTAATAATAAAAATCAAGGTACAGGCAACATCTCCTGTGTTCATTTGAATGGTCAGCATTCTGAAAAGAAAGAAGAAAAAACCTAGTGGGAGAGGATAGCACCTTTGAGTCTGCCCTATCCCAGCCAACACAGTAGCAGCAGGCCCTGTAGTGAAGGCACATCAGGGTTTTGAAATTCATAAGAAAGGAGTGAGAATTTCTGCATTTGTTCTTACTGCATTTATCCGGTTGCCTTGCAGGGTGTTATGGGGGCGGCGTATTTTGTTGTTGTTGTTTTGAGGAATCTAATTAGAGAGCTGGATCTGAGCACTAGAAAGACTCTCTGCACACACTTCTTCCAAAAACTGGCTAGCATAATGGCCTTGTTTCAAGTGAGTTTGCAATCTCAACATAATCCCCTAATCAGCTTCTCTCTTCACGTCTCTACAGCGGGGACAGAAAGAAGGAAGGAACAAGGTTGTATAGCCAACCAGATTCCACTGCTTGTTCAAATGACAAAGCAGTGGTACCTACTGGACATCTTCTAATCAGGTACCTGCAGTTAAGGCATCAGCTCTTTATGTACAGAAAATTCGGGATCTTTCTTTAGGGTTGAACAAGATGGGAGAGAAGGTAACTTGATTTAGTCCTCATACGCATGTGCAGTATGAGAACATGTGATCATGAAATTATAGATTACTTTAGAAATATAGATTACTTAACCGCAGGGCTCCCCTCCTGCCAAATGTCTGGACCTGTGTGGGGCTCCAGACCCTGCGTGCTGGATTGAGCACATGATTCCAGGGCACAGAGGAAGCACTGGGCCAGAAGGGAACGATGCCAGACCCCAGGGCCCAATTCTGGCATGTGGGACTGAATCCAACCCACAAGCCTGCCCCACATTACTCATCTGGTCTGCAGGGCCAAAAGTTGAGCACCACTGGACTGCTCCATTTGCAAACACCCCTGGAATGCTCTGGGCAGATGTCAAGAAGGAAAAATTAAACAACTATAAATCTTGCCTTTCCTAACTTCTGAGTACTGAATTAGCACCAATATGTTCTTTGAAGACTTTGGTGTGTTATTTAATGTATTTCAGCCTGCAGAGTGAGGTCTTACAGTCAACTTGATGGCATTTCTATTGATCTGTGAGATAGTGTGCATGAC